CTGCACATGTAAGACCTCAGTGCTATCTCCTGCTCGAAGTCGACGTTTTCGATCGATAAAGTCAACTAGCAGTTCGAAATGAACAATGGAACCACGGAAAAACACCTTCGCAACACCATGGTGCGTTTCAGCACCAGCTTCACGGATGTTTGCATGATTGATCACTGATGTCCTTCTGTCCTTGTCAATCCTCGTCCAACGTCGTTGGACGCGAAGACTGCACTAACAGTAAGATGCAGAAGTCTTTCAAGGAGTACAATTGCTTACGGTAGTCCTGTGCGACGTTCTCGCATCCTCTCGTCGTCCACGACGCGTCGCAATGCAGCGCCGTTTCAGGAGAGTCGTGCTCCGTGGTGAACCCGATCGTGGAAAGCGTCCATTGCGTTCTTGGCTTGTTTCTCCTTGCCATTTGTACCATAAATACGAGGTTTCATCGTCGAAAGATTTGGACGTTATAGGATGATGGTGGCCGAGTTCAACAGACGTTGGGTTGTCGGAGTCGGGAACAAGTTGCAAGTGACAATGGTGACAACTGTTTCCTCATTGTTTCCACCACCCTCCACGGACAACATGGCCCAGTGAGGGCTACACACACTCTCTGAGTATCTTATGGTCCTCAACATCGCGGAAGCGTTTGCGTCTTCATTCTTTCCGGCTCAATACATCGTCCACTTCGTCGTTGGGATCGCAGTTGTCCTCACACTGCATGCCGTCTGCCAAGGCCGACGAACAACCCGTGAACGAGATCTACATGCCAGAACGGTGTTGATAACGATGAGTACAACTGCATTCCCCATTGCTCCATGGTTTGACCGCTGAGAATACCACTAGGGCGGATTTACACCACTGGGCCTGACAATTCTCCAATCTCTAGCCCAACGCGGAGCCCACATAATCGCTCTTTCCCCAGACCCAATCGACTCTGCCAATGTAACCATCCTCATCAGTCTCCTCCGCACATCCACCTCGAACGATCAAATATTCGCAGAGGAATGCGATGTCTCTTCACTCGCCTCCATACGCTCGTTTTGCACCCGATTTCTTACCGGACAAGACCAGAGAATCGACGCTATCATTTTTGCGCACGAGTACCGCCAAATTGGTTCCTTCTTCTCACGTAAGGACAAAGAAAAGGAGCGGAATGCGGGTTCGTTAGCGACGTTCTTGATCACCACGCTGCTCTTGCCAGCACTCCTGGTTGCTCCTGTGGAACGGGACATTCGGATTATCAACGTCGTCAACCCATTTTATGCAGCCGCCGCTACCCTCTCACCTCTTTTCGATTTCCCAAAAGGTCTGTCTTCCTGAGGGAGGGCATTCGTTCTCTACGAAACATCATCGTCACACGACATCTACAACGTATTCTAGACGCACTCCCAGCTGCACAATTACCTAAACCGGAAGAAGGCTCGTCCTCTGTCCCTGTGGCCAACACTAAAGTGCAAAAGTCAAACATCGTCGCTGTGAGCGTGTGTCCAGGCTTAAGCAGAGTCGACACCATCTCAGCTCTCTTCAACGCCGATTGGACGATACGCTCCACACCTTTCGGAATAGCCCTGTGAGTTTAATGTGCATTGCAGCGCGATATGTTCTGATAGTACCTAGCTACGTTATCCTCCAGCCCGTCGTTCGGATCTTCTTCAAGTCCCCAGAAATAGCTATGCAATCCGTGCTACACGCCCTTTTCCTCTCAACGCCATTCAAAGTCCCTGTGCAATCGACCCAAGTTCCCGATGCGATGCCTGAGAAGTGTTGAAGCCCGGCGCATTGTACCGAGAATGTGCTGTCGTCACCTTGCAGGTGTATGTTCCCGAGAAGCTTGCGTCATCGGACCCGAAGGCTTCCTCATCACCAAAGGGAAAGGGGAAAGCCGGAGAAGAGGTATCGGAAATCCCGGATGATGGAGAGTACGGCAGGGAGGTTGCTGGGAGGCTTGTTTGGGAGGCGTATGAGGAGGCTTTGAAGGTGTGGGAGAAGGAGAACCCGGCCAGTGAGGAGGATGCGAAGAGAGGGGAAGAGAGAGAGCGGGAACAG